GCGTGTGGCGCCTCAGGAGCGCGCCCGCGGTCGCCGAGTACACCCGCTCCCGCGTCGAGGGACTGAAGCACCGGCGGCGCCGCCGAGCTCGGGCGGCGCGTGGCCGGCTGGGCTGCCGCGGGGCGGCGCTCGGCGGCCTGCGAGGGCGCGGTGCCTGCCCGGGGCGGCGGGGCCCTGAGGGCCACGAAGGCGCTGCGAACGCACTGCCCCTGGCCCAGCCCAGGACAGGTCTGGACAGGGGCGGCGGTCACACAGGGAGGGCTTTCGCCACCCCGTGCCTTTCCCCTGCTTTGCGGAGCGCTGCTTCCAGCTCCAAGATGCGGAAATCTTTTTCGTCCTGGGGGACGGGCGCGCTGCGCCGCCCAGGTGTCATGGGCCGGCTGACCCCCCCGCCCAATTGACGCACCGCCAGCGGGGTGTCGTCGATGATGTCAGACACCGCCTGCCTGTTGGCGTGGACGTCAACGCCAAGGGAATGGAAGCAGACCTTCGCGGCAGGGAACGCGGGGCACGTGCAGCGCGCGCCGCTGCCCGCCGCGCGCAATGCGATCCGCGCGGCATTCTCCCCGCCGACGGACTGCAGCCTTCCGATCGTCGGCCTGTTCCCAACCGTCTGTGCCACCAACCGATCGACTGCTGCTTCTCCCTCCTTGCGACTCATGGGAGGCACGTCGCCGACTTCTCCGTCGGCCTCTGTGCGCGGGCGCGCGCGTGCGCGGGCCCGCGCCAACGGCGCCGCTGGGGTGTCGATGATAGCCTTGAAAGCGACGGCCTTTTTCCAAGTCTTGGCAGGGGCGACCCTCCGCCCGTGCACGTCAAACTCCGCCGCCCTTCGAGAAGAGGCCCTCCGCGGGTGGGCGCGCACCGTCGGTCGTCGTCGTCTGTCGCCTTGCTGGCGGACGCGGATGTGGTCGTCGTCGTCGTCGTCGTCATCGTCGTCGTCGTCGTCGGCGACGTGGTCGTGGTCGCGGTCGCGGTTGTGGTCGCGGTCGCGGCGGCGGTCGTGGTCGTCGTCGTCGTCGCGGCGAGGCGGCAGCCGCGCGAATCATCCAGGGCGTAGTTCACGACCTCGGTCCGTGCGAACGACAGCAGCCCCCCGACGCCGGCGCTCCGGTGCTGCGCGTCCTCGCGCAGAAGACGGATCTGTGTTTCGCGCGCATTAGTCGCGCCGGGCGTGGCGTCGGCATCCTGCAAGCTCCCCGCGCCAAGGTGCCATTCGGGCGCGACGGTATCCCACTACTTACAAAACACATCGCCGTAGTTGTACTCATTGCCAGATTTGTCAGTTCAAGACATGGGGATCCGATAGTTCGTGTCAGCCCATTTGTTTTCAACGGCCCTGCAGCGGGAATGGAAGTCCGCGTCTGACCACGCACCCCTGATTAAGTCAATGTCGTCGCCGATGGCATTCCATGCTTCGTGCTTCTCCTTCTCGGCGCCGCGAAAGCGTTTCATGGGCGACTTCCGCGCTGCCTTCTTGACGTGAAGGTTCGCCGGCGACGCCCGCGCCGCAGCCAAGTGCTGCGGGCGTGCTGTCTGGCAAGGGGGGGCATGATGAAGTTCAGGCAAGGCGTCGCCTCTTGCTGCAGAGTCCTGGGGATGGCACGGCGGCGGGGGGGGCGGCTTGCCGCAGGCTGGTGGATAGCGCATTAGTGGCCGGGATCCGAACACCTTCGCCATGCCGCGCCTGCACGCCACCTCCGCGTCGCTCATGGAGAACGATTTCGTGAGGGGGCTGCGCGATCGCGCTTTGCACGCATCTGCGAACCCTTGCAGGACGGCCAATACCTGGTCCTCCTTGGCAGTGGGCGTGATCGCCACCGCGCACGGTGCGAACGAACCGGCTGCGTTCATCACCCCGATCAAGTGCGCCGGGTACCCGAAGACGCAAAACCCGGCGCCCCCGTCGCAGGCCATGGTTGTAGATCTTGGATCTGCAAAGCGTTGCATTAGGGATTTGGTCGTGACCGCCACCTGCGCCTCCCAGGAACCCGAAGGAATCCGAAGGAACCCTAAGGAACCCGAAGGAATCCGAAGGAATCCGAAGGGATCCGAAGGAACCCAGAGGAATCCGAAGGAATCCCAAGGAACCCGAAGGAACCCCAAGGAATCCGAACGAATCTGGAGGAATCCTGAGGAATTCCGAAGGATCCTAAGGTATCATCAGCATCCTAAGGACTCCGAAGGAATCCGAAGGAATCCGAAGGAATCATAAGGATCCTAAGCAATCCTAAGGAATCCGACGGAGTCATCAGGATCCTAAGGAATCCGAAGGAATCCGAAGGAATCATACGGACCCTAAGGAATCCGAAGAAACCCGAAGGAACCCCAAGGAAACCGAAGGAATCCCAGGGAATCCTAATGAAACCGCAGGAACAACCCCAAGGCACCCCAAGGAATCTTAAGGAACCCGCAAGAATCCCAAGGAATCACAAAGAATCCCAAGGAACCCGAAGAAACCGAAGTACTTCTGGAGAAATACTTCTGAAGATCGCACCCATAGTTGTAATTGGTCTCATTTCTGGTTGCAATTGGTCTCAGTTCTGGTTGCAATTCGTTCCATTTCGGGGTCACTACCGGTTCGACCCCCCCCCCCCCGAAAACCGGGGGGGCACTACCGGTTCGAACCCCCCCCCAATGTTCACCGCCAGCAAACGACTCCCGGGTCCCTGCCACTGTCCGCACCACATCCCCCACTGCTGTCCCCAGCACCACTGTCCTCATTACCACTGTCCCCACTGTTCCCACCACCGTCCCCACTGTCCCCACCAATGCCCCCACCACTGTCGCACTGTCCCTGCGGTCCCCACCACTGTTCCCACCACGGTTCCACTCTCCCCACCTTCTCCACGGCCCCACTCACTGTCCCGCTGTCCCCACTGTCCCACTGCCCCCGCCGCTGTCCCACTGGGCTGTCCCACTGTTCCCACCACTGTCCCCACCACTGTCCCCGCTGTACCTTTGTCCCATTATCCCACCGCCGTCCTTGCCACCGCCCTCACCACTGTCCCCACCACCACTGTACCCTCCAGTGTCCCACTGTTTACACCACATCCCCACTGTCCCCACACCAGTGTCCCCACCACCACCGTCCCCACCACTGCCCCACTGTCCCCACTGTTCCCACCATTGTCCCCGCTGTCCCCACCAGTGCCCGCACCAGTGTCTCACTGTCCCCACTCTCCCCACCATTGTCCCATCACGGTCCCACTCTCGCCACTTTCCCCACGGTCCCCACCACTGTCCAAATGTTCCCACTGTACCCCCCACTGTCCCATTGTCCCCGCCACTGTCCCACTGTGCTGTCCCACCGTCCCCACTGTGCCCACCACTGTCCCACTGTCCCCACTGTCCCCGCAACTTTCCCAACGTTACTACTGTCCCACCACTGTCCTCACCACCGCCTTCACCACTGTCCCCACCACTACCGTCCCCACCACTGTCCCACTGTCCCCACCACTGTCCCGCTGTCCCCTCACCGCTGTCCCCACCACCACCGTCCCCACCACTGTCCGCACCACTGTCCCACTGTCCCCGCACAACTGTCCCCACTGTCACCACCATTGTCCCACCACGGTTCCACTCTCCCCACCTTCCCCACGGTCCCTACCACTGTCCCACTGTCCCCACCACTGTCGCCGCCGCTGTCCCACTGTGTTCACCCGTCCCCACTGTCCCCCTCACTGTCGCACTGTCCCCAATGTCCCCACCACTGTCCCCGCCGTACTACTGTCCCACCAATGTCCTAACCACCGCCTTCACCACTGTCCCCACCACTACGTCCCCAACGCTGTCCCACTGTCCCCACCACTGTCCCGCTGTCCCCTCGCCACTGTCCCCACCGCCAGCGTCCCCACCACTGTCTGCACCACTGTCCCACTGTCCCCGCACAACTGGCCCCACCACCACCGTTCCCACCACTGCCACTGTCCCAGCATCCCCACCATTGTCCAACTGTCCCGAGGAGCGGGAATCGTTTGCCGGCGGCGGGGGGGGTGTTCGAAATGGTAATGACCCCCCCCCCAATTTTCAAGGGGGGGGGTTCGAACCGGTAGTGACCCCTTCCGTTTTCGACGGGGGGGGGAATTCGAACTGGTGATGACCCCCCCCCCCCTTTCATGATGGACTGGGGGTGGGGAGGGGGAGGGGTTCGAACCGGCAGGGACCCCCCCCCCCCCCCGGGTTTCGAGGGGGGGGGAACGGGTTGGGAACCCCCAGTGACCGCCCACGGTTTTCCGCCAGCAGCGGTAGAACACGCTCTTTCAAACCTCTTGAGCGGGGCGCGGCCAGCGAGAGTGGTTAAGGATGAGCCGAAGGGAGGATGCAAGGGTAACCTTGGAAAATTGCTCGTCCTTACTGTGCGCTTCGACTGCCCAAGGCTTCCGCCTAAGAGTAGGGAGGCAGCGTTCTCAGGTCTCTTTCTTGGTGTAGACGTTGCCCCAAATGTGGTTGAGCGTTTTCCGATGCTACAACCATGTGTGCACTCATAGAATCCAGTGTGGGAATACACACCTTCCTAATGCTTGCTGTTGTATGCGCAGTCCCTGGACAGGTAGTAGGGGGACGAACAATGACATAAACATAATGACTCGAAAGTCCGCGCGGATTTCTCGGATCGGCGCCAGGGCCCCCTCTGGCGGCGCCTCCGGCGCCGCCCCTGGCGCGCTCCGCGCGCCAGGGAGGGGGGTCCAACGCCGATCCGAAAAATCCGCGCGGACCTCCGCGTTTTTATGTTTCTGTCATTGTTCGTTTGCCTAGGTAGTGAGAGTGCTATGCGGCCTTCTTAGGCACAACATGAGTCAAAGAAATAGACTTAGATCGGGCATGTCCCCCTACAGGCAGGTTTTCGACGAATAGTTTTAAATAGTCAAATCATGTTCCCAAAATGGCCAAAGAATCGTCCCCTGATTATTTTTTCCCTATGTTTGCATCTTCCTCCCGTAGAGGGACACGCCCGACCTGAGAATAGATCTCTGGGACTGCGTGCTGCCCCCGGGCTCCTCGGAAGCACCGAGGGCTGCCGGGCCCCGATGCACGCGCCCACCTCGCAGAGCAGCGCGTCCGCGTCCCCGGAGCGCTGGGACTCCAGGAAGCCGCGCACGTCCCCGCGGGAGACCTCTCGGGGATGGACAGAACCCCCTTTAGTAAAACGTGGTTTAGTGAAAACGACCAGAGGCCCAAACCTGGCGGGCGCAAGCCTGGAAAATAACGGCCACGGCGCCCTCTCGAGAACCGAAAACGGACAATTCACTAATCGACGTGTCACTGTTGGGGGTTCTGTCCACCCCCGAACCTCGCCCAGGGAGCTCCGCGAGGGCCGCCGAGAAGCGCCGACGAGGGCGCCGGCAGACCTCGAGCCTCGAAGCCTCGGACCTCGAAAACGGAGATGCATCGACGCTTCCGGGTCGAGGCCCCCCCCCCCTGAGCGGGCCCCCTCCCAGGGGGACGAACGACAACATAAACAGAATAGCTTGGAATTCCGCGTGGATTTCTCGGGTCTTGGTCGCCCGAGTTATCCGAGGTAACTCGGGTCCGGGGTAACTCGGGCTTGGATTCCCGAAAAAGGAACCCGAGTTATCCCTGACCCGAGTTACCCCTGATGATTCGGGGCTCTGGGCGCCCGATTCATCCGGGGTAACTCGGGTCCGGGGTACGTCGGGTTTGGATTCCCGAAAAGCGAACCCGAGTTATCCCTGACCCGAGTTACCCCTGATGATTCGGGGCTCTGGGCGCCCGAGTTATCCGGGGTAACTCGGGTCCGGGGTACGTCGGGTTTGGATTCCCGAAAAGCGAACCCGAGTTATCCCTGACCCGAGTTACCCCTGATGATTCGGGGCTCTGAACAATAGCTTGGAGGTCCGCGTGGATTCCTCGGGTCGGCGCTGGGGCCCCCCCCTGGCGGCGCCTCCGGCGCCGCCAGCGGCGCGCTCCGCGCGCCCGGGAGGGGACCCGCTCGGGGGGGGGAGCCTCGACACGGAACCGCCGGTGTTCGAGGTGCCCTCGAGCCACGGGGGCGGGTGGGCGTCTCGGGCGACGGGGGAGGAGGAGGAGGAGGAGGAGGAGGAGGAGGAGGAGGAGGAGGAGGAGGAGGAGGAGGAGGAGGAGGAGGAGGAGGAGGAGGCGCCGATGCATCGCGTTCGAGGCTCGAGGCTTCGAGGGTCGAGGCTTGTCAGCGCCCTCGTCGGCTCTCGGCGGCGTGCCGATCTCGGGGGGTACCTTCCAGCGGCGGCGCCTCGCCGCGGGCGCTCTGGGTGGTGCCCATCCTCCCGAACGGCCCCCAGAGGCTCGAAACATGTGAAGGGGCCCAAGGACACACAAATAAAGACACACACAAATGAAAACATTCCCCATATTTTCCTATATTTTCTGGGTTTCTGTCTTTCCGCCCACTTCCCATATTTTCCCATATTTTCTGGGGGATCGAGGATGACTTGTGTCTGTGTGTTTCTTTTCCTCCTGCACATGACCCGAAAACCACCAGAGGATCCGCTCAGGGGGGAAGCATCGACGACCTGGAATCGTCGATCCATTGCCGAAATAGGGAGCCCACAAAAGGACGTACGCGCCCAGCTATGTACATGAACACGGCCCCTCGATCCGCGAGACTGGCCGCGTGAAACGAACATTTGCACAACGCGTACTCTCAAAACCAGCGTAGATTCGTGTACGTGTACGTCCTTTTTTCACTCCTGACGACAGATCGGCGTTAGGCCCCTGATGGCGAAAGCGCACATTCATGGGCGGGTCGGGCAATGGGGCCCCTATCGGCGACGAGTAGCCGATTGGGGGTCGATGCGTCCCCCTCTGAGTCTGCAGTAGGAGCTCGACGACAAGAGACCTTCCACAGGAAACCCAACCCTGAGACCTCAGGACGTCCACCGATGTTTGGTGTGGGAGCGTCACGCTTTCCATCGCAAAGCCATCAGAACCCAAGAAATCCAGTGCACCAGGCTGTTTCTTGGCAGAGGTTTCCAGTGTATCGCTCCCGGACGTTGCCCCTGACCCAGATCTCTGACGATACACATCGGTCGGAAAAAGGTGGTAGAAACATGAAGTAGGAAGGCGTCGAAAGTAGATTGGGTGTCTGCCCGCCCCCTAAGGAGGACGGAAGGGTGAAGCCACTCGATCATTGAAGTAGGACGGCGCTCAAACTATGTTGGCATCTGGCAGTCCAAAAAAATTGCTTTCAACGACCGATGGGTAACGAACGTTGCCCCTGACCCAGATATCCGACGATACGACTCGTTCGATCCCGGCGTTCTTTCTCGACTGCGGCTCCAAAGGGGGCTGGCTGCGCGGCCACGCTCCGGGATGTCTAAGAAGTCTCGCCATCGCTCGGGCATCCGCTCCCCGTGCAGGTGTCGACTCCGTGCAAGCATTTCTCGCAAGACGACCCCAGAATGCTCCTCGATGGTCCTGGCATAGAACATATGCACACGTCCGAGCGGTGCGAAGAGATATTAGAGGCCTCCTAGGTGGGGTCGGAGTAGATGGGGTCGGTGGATCGCACCGCATCGCCGATACATCGGCGATGCATCGGCGATGCATCGGCGATGCAATGGCGATGCACCGTCGACGTCGGCGCTTCATTGGCGACGCCGGCGCGAAGAACATCGGGCCCCGCATCGAGCCGCATCGCCGATGCATCGGCGATGCGACGCGATCCTCCGACCCCATCTACTCGGACCCCATCTAGGAGGCCTAGCGATAGGTAACAGGGGATGTGACCACTATCCCAGGCTTCGTGGGGTTTCCAGATGGACCAGAAATCTGGGGCCCAACCCTGGGATATACGATGGGGGGGGGGTGTCCATGCTCGGTAGGGGTGCGTCCGAATGGCCCCTTTGGGGTGTAGCTCGAGGTTTTCCCATTTTTCTGAGCGGCGAAACTTTTCGGGCGAAACTCGGGGATTGGGGGAGAAACATCGCCCCCGAATAGGGGGGAAGACCAGGCGAGGGCAGGGAAGGCCCGCGGGCGGGGGCGTTTTTTCCAGAGCCTCCGGCCCCCGGGGGGGGCCCGCTCTCGGGCGCCGCGGCGGTCCACATATGGATCTGGGGGCGAGAAGCTGGCCCCCGGGGGAGGGGTCGGAACTTCTGGCGAGCAAAAACCACATCCTCCTCCTCCTCCTCCTCCTCCTCCTCCTCCTCCTCCTCCTCCTCCTCCTCCTCCTCCTCCTCCTCCGCCTCTCCTCCTCCTCCTCCTCCTCCTCCTCCTCCCCTCCTCCCCCCTCCTCCCTCCCCCTCCTCCTCCTCCTTCCTCCTCCTCCTCCTCCTCCTCCTCCCTCCCCCTCCTCCCCCTCCTCCCGGGCGGGGCCGGCCCCTGGAAGCCCACGCCGCTTTCTCCCCCAGACCCGCTTTCCCTCCCGGGCCGTGCTTTGGCCCCGTCAGGGCGGAGGGAGCTGCATTTTGTCAGCACATTGGAGATCTGGCTCTCGGTTCATATGAAGGGGCCCTGGGACACACAAATAAATGCACACAAATTTTCCCATATTTTCTGGGGAATATACGATATTTTCTGGAGGTTTCAATAGATGCACACAAATTTCCCATGTTTTCTGGAGGTTTGTCTTCCCCCCACTTCCCATATTTTCCCATATTTTCTGGGGAATCGACGATTAATTGTGTCTGTGTGTTTCTTTCCCTCCTGATCATAGCTCTCGGTTCATAATTCGGGTCGGGCGAAAGGGGGGGATAGCAAAGGGGGGGCTTGAGAATCAGCTCACGTATAGCTGATTTTCCCGGCGCCTCCCGGCGCCGGAGGCGGCCATGTATCGAGGAATGGGCCCCTCGGTGAGGCCGAAACTAGCTGCATGCAGCAAATTTCGTACCCCCCCCTTTCCCAATCCCCCCCTTTCGCCCGGCCCGATCATAGCTCGGGTCTCCAGCAGCCGGTCGGGACGACTCGGGCACCCCCTAGAGTGCTCTCGGCGATGCGCAGCTGCGGAAAGGCACACCTGGACTGAAGAGAAGCCCCGGGAGCCAGGCACCGACGGAGGAACGCACCAAAAAGCCTCGAGCTTGGAGACCTCGAATCTTTCGACACGTTGGAGGTATGGGGCCGCGACCGCGCGCAAAGGCCGGGAACACGGCTGCGTGCCGCCCCGTCTTGGGGCCCTCTTGGGGGGGCTCTCAAAGCAGTCTTGAGGAGCTCTTGAGCCGTCTTTGGGCGCTCTTGAGGCCTCTTGATAGCCATTTGGGCCGTCGTGGGGTGATCCAGGGCTGGACCTAAACGTTGTTAGTCGTTTGGGTTTCGTTTTGTACCTCCCTCCCAAGACGAAAAACAAGACACAGCCGAAATCCAACAGAACAACGCGTAGGTCCAGTCCTGGGGTGATCCCAAGGCCCTCTTGGCCGGTCTTGGGGCGTCGGAAACCCGGAAAGGCGCGAAGGCTAAAATTCTTGGAGGACCGACGGGAAATCAACGCTGCGTACCTCTCGAGGGCCTCTTGAGCCGTCCTGAGGCTGCCTTGGGGCGCCCTGGGGCGCTATTGTTGGGCGCCCGAGTTATCCGGGGCAACTCGGGTCCGGGGTAAGTCGGGTTTGGATAAGGAACCCGAGTTAGCCCTGACCCGAGTTACCCCTGATGATTCGGGGCTCTGGACGCCCGAAGTATCTGGGGTAACTCGGGTCCGGGGTAACTCGGGCTTGGATTCCCGAAAAAGGAACCCGAGTTAGCCCTGACCCGAATTACCCCTGATGATTCGGGGCTCTGATATTGCGCCATCTCAGTGAGCCCATGGACCTTCTGCAGAAAAACAACCTCATTAACATAAATCTCCCAGAGGCCCGCGAGGACTTCGTGGATCGGAGCTGGACCCCCCCCCCTCTCCGGCGCGAGGAGCGAGGGGGCCCAGGCGCCGAGCTCAGGAACCCGCGCGGAGCTCCGAGGAAGCATGCTCATATGCAAGCTGCTGTGCCTCGAATACCGAAGAGCTCCTGGGCGGGGGACTACAACAAAAACGAAGGATTGCAAAAAGGATTGCAACAAAAACCAAGGATTGCAAAAAAAAAAAAAAACCTTTTTTTTCGAAGGATTGCAAAACAACCCAGGATTGCAATCCTTTTTTTTGCAATCCTGGCTTGGCTCAGAGAAGCCCAAGCCCAATCCCACTTCCAG